TCACACACTGTGTATTATTTAATACTATCACACACATTTAATACTATCACACACTGTGTATCATTTAATACTATCACACTGTGTATTATTTAATACTATCACACACTGTGTATCATTTAATACTATCACACTGTGTATTATTTAATACTTTCACACACTGTGTATTATTTAATACTATCACACTGTGTATTATTTAATACTATCACACTATATATCATTTAATACTATCACACACTGTGTATCATTTAATACTATCACACTGTGTATTATTTAATACTATCACACACTGTGTATCATTTAATACTATCACACTGTGTATTATTTAATACTTTCACACACTGTGTATTATTTAATACTATCACACTGTGTATTATTTAATACTATCACACTATATATCATTTAATACTATCACACACTGTGTATCATTTAATACTATCACACTATGTATTATTTAATACTTTCACACACTGTGTATTATTTAATACTATCACACTATATATCATTTAATACTATCACAATGTGTATCATTTAATACTATCACACACTGTGTATTATTTAATACTATCACACACTGTGTATTATTTAATACTATCACACTATATATCATTTAATACTATCACAATGTGTATCATTTAATACTATCACACACTGTGTATTATTTAATACTATCACACACTGTATATTATTTAATACTATATCACACTGTGTATCATTTAATACTATCACACACTATTGATCATTTAATACTATCACAATGTGTATCATTTAATACTATCACACACTATTGATCATTTAATACTATCACAATGTGTATCATTTAATACTATCACAATGTGTATCATTTAATACTATCACACACTGTGTATCATTTAATACTATCACACACTATGTATCATTTAATGTAACAGTCTTACAAGTTATAATCTTAATAAGTAATTATGGTAATAATGTCAATAAGTGTTATTGATAATAACTAATATTATAAATAAAGTATAACGGTAATAAATAATAATAGTACTTAGTAACAATGCTAATTATTAGTGGTATTAGTTAATTATTGGTTATAAATAATAATGGTTTAACAATGGTAATAAATGTTAGTGGCAACAAGTAATAATAGTAATAAGTAATAAAGGTAGGAATTAATACTACTACTACTACTACTAATAATAATAATAAAAATAATTTAGGATAATAATGTAATGTTAAGTAATTGTGTTCACAGAATATCTCTAGGCTAGTGCTGTGTTAGTAACCAGTTAAGGAGTAGTTATTATATTTTATTATACCCCCTCTCTCCCAGTGCTGTGTTAGTAACCAGTTAAGGAGTAGTTATTATATTTTATTATACCCCCACTCTCCCAGTGCTGTGTTAGTAACCAGTTAAGGAGTAGTTATTATATTTTATTATACCCCCTCTCTCCCAGTGCTGTGTTAGTAGCAAGTTAAGGAGTAGTTATTATATTTTATTATACCCCCTCTCTCTGTGTTAGTAGCCAGTTAAGGAGTAGTTATTATATTTTATTATACCCCCTCTCTCTGTGTTAGTAGCCAGTTAAGGAGTAGTTATTATATCTTATTATACTCCCTCTCTCTGTGTTAGTAGCCAGTTAAGGAGTAGTTATTATATCTTATTATACCCCCTCTCTCCCAGTGCTGTGTTAGTAACCAGTTAAGGAGTAGTTATTATATTTTATTATACCCCCTCTCTCCCAGTGCTGTGTTAGTAACCAGTTAAGGAGTAGTTATTATATTTTATTATACCCCCTCTCTCCCAGTGCTGTGTTAGTAGCCAGTTAAGGAGTAGTTATTATATTTTATTATACCCCCTCTCTCCCAGTGCTGTGTTAGTAGCCAGTTAAGGAGTAGTTATTATATCTTATTATACCCCCTCTCTCCCAGTGCTGTGTTAGTAACCAGTTAAGGAGTAGTTATTATATCTTATTATACCCCCTCTCTCTGTGTTAGTAACCAGTTAAGGAGTAGTTATTATATTTTATTATACCCCCTCTCTCCCAGTGCTGTGTTAGTAGCCAGTTAAGGAGTAGTTATTATATCTTATTATACCCCCTCTCTCCCAGTGCTGTGTTAGTAACCAGTTAAGGAGTAGTCATTATATTTTATTATAACCCCACTCTCACAGTGCTGTGTTAGTAGCAAGTTAAGGAGTAGTCATTATATCTTATTATACCCCCTCTCTCCCAGTGCTATGTTAGTAACCAGTTAAGGAGTAGTTATTATATCTTATTATACCCCCTCTCTCCCAGTGCTGTGTTAGTAACCAGTTAAGGAGTAGTTATTATATCTTATTATACCCCCTCTCTCTGTGTTAGTAACCAGTTAAGGAGTAGTTATTATATTTTATTATACCCCCTCTCTCCCAGTGCTGTGTTAGTAGCCAGTTAAGGAGTAGTTATTATATCTTATTATACCCCCTCTCTCTGTGTTAGTAGCCAGTTAAGGAGTAGTTATTATATCTTATTATACCCCCTCTCTCCCAGTGCTGTGTTAGTAACCAGTTAAGGAGTAGTTATTATAATTTATTATACCCCCTCTCTCCCAGTGCTGTGTTAGTAGCCAGTTAAGGAGTAGTTATTAAATTTTATTATACCCCCTCTCTCCCAGTGCTGTGTTAGTAACCAGTTAAGGAGTAGTTATTATATCTTATTATACCCCCTCTCTGGAAGTGCTGTGTTAGTAACCAGTTAAGGAGTAGTTATTATATCTTATTATACCCCCTCTCTCCCAGTGCTGTGTTACTAACCAGTGAAGTAGTAGTTATTATATTTTATTATACCCCCTCTCTCCCAGTGCTGTGTTAGTAACCAGTGAAGTAGTCGTTATTATATTTTATTATAGCCCCTCTCTCCCAGTGCTGGGGCGGTGGGGCCTTGTTGCCTCCTATACTAGGTCTCTTTGACTGACAGCTCATGGTAAATAAACAGAGACTTCTATACTCAGCTGTATTTAAGTTGTACTCTGGGAGCTGAATGCCTGGGCTGTCTCACAGTAACGCAAGGGGATCAGTCTAATAATATGATGTATTTATTAATCCTGAACCTCATCTATGACATCTTTAGCTCACTGATTGCTCTAATTTCTAAATAACTCTCAATGAAGAAGGGCTTCATTTAAAATTAATTACAGATATTGATTTCAGTGGGACATTAAATATCCCATACTCACTGTGATTTCTGTGTGTTTATCAGTACATACATGCACACACATAGACCAGATTCTAAGCTTTCAATCTATGTGTATTTATTGGTAGACACACACAGACACACATATCATGTATTTGGGGGTGTACTATGTGTTGAATGTGTGTGTCTGTGTGTGACTGTGTGTGTGATTGTGTGTGACTGTGTGTGTGACTGTGTCGGAATGGGATTGTGTGTGACTGTGTTTGATGGTGTGTGTGTGTGTCTGTGTGTGATGGTGTGTGACTGTGTGTGTGTGTGTGTGACTGTGTGTGATGGTGTGTTTGTGACTGTGTGTGTGTCTGTGTGTCACCGTATCTGTGTGTGACTGGGTCAGTGTGTTATTGCGTGACACTGTGTGTGATGGTGTGTGTGACTGTCTGTGACTGTGTGTGTGCCTATGTTTGACTGTGTCTGTGTGTGATTGTGTGTGACTGTTGGTGTGTGATTGTGTGTGACGGTGTGTGTGTGACTGTGTGTGATGGTGTGTGTGTGTTTGTGTGTGACTGTGTCTGTGTGTGATTGTGTTGGTGTTATTGTGTAACACTGTGTGTGATGGTGTGTTTGACTGTGTGTGATGGTGTGTCTGTGAGTGTGTGTGTGTCTGTGTGTGTGACTGTGCCTGTGTGTGATTGTGTTGGTGTGTTATTGTGTAACACTGTGTGTGACGGTGTGTTTGACTGTGTGTGATGGTGTGTCTGTGTGTGTAACGGTGTGTTTGACTGTGTGTGATGGTGTGTCTGTGAGTGTGTGTGTGTCTGTGTGTGTGACTGTGTCTGTGTGTGACTGTGTCTGTGTGTGATTGTATTGGTGTGTTATTGTGTAACACTGTGTGTGACGGTGTGTTTGACTGTGTGTGATGGTGTGTCTGTGTTTGTGTGTGGCTGTGTCTGTGTGTGACGGTGTGTCGGTGTGTGATTGTGTTGGTGTGTTATTGTGTAACACTGTGTGTGTGACGGTGTGTCTGTGTCGATCTGTTTGTCAGCCCGGGGTGGAATTCTGTCTGACACGTTGTGTCACATTGGATTGTCCTGCAGTTCTCTGGCTGTGGATATTATTGTATCGAGGTGTATGACAGATCCCTGTGGCATATTACAAAGTAGTGGAAAGGACAAAGGAGAAAAAAAGAAAACAATTAGTAATTAGCAGAGAGTGATGGCGGCTGTAATAGCAGTAATTACCCCCCATGTAATTAAAGTCATTGCTGGGGGGGGACACTCTTTGTCAACAGGTTATTTGCTGCATTAAGTGGAGATTAGGGCTGCTGGGGCTGTTTTGCCAGGTAGGAGGTGCCATGTTTCTGTGTGTCACACGTTGTATTTTAGTCCTGAGAAAGTTAAAACAGGATCATTTAATCAGGAATCCCTGCAGCCCATGTAATGCATGCAAGGGGCGCCATCTAGTGTTGGCCAAGAAAACAGCAGCAAGGACACAATGCAGCGATAGATTATGTAACAGTGAGAGTAATTAGCAATCAGTCAGAGAGATGAATTAACACCATGGGTGTGACTATAACAATAGCATCAGAGAACTTTCTATTAATCTATAATAAAATGCTTATTTAGTGATGCACAAACAGATATATAAGAGTGAGTCTGTCTGTCTGTCTGTCTGTCCATATAGCTCCAGTACAATCTGTATTGGAATGTCTGCAGAATGCGTTGTGTATTAGTCCTGTCTTGTGGATACATTTCAACACACTCTCTTTCTCTCTCTCTCTCGAATTGGGAAACCGTGCATAGGGCAAGGAAGGTGAACCTTTTACACCATCTAGCCCAAATCCTGAGCCCATCTCTCCCGGACCCTGATCCCATCTATCCCAGAGTAGACCCTGAGCCCATCTCTCCCAGACCCTGAGCCCATCTATTACAGACCCTGAGCCCATCTCTCCCAAACCCTGAGCCCATCTATTCCAAACCCTATGTCCATCTCTCCCAGACCCTGAGCCCATCTATTCCAGACCCTGATCCCATCTATCCCAGAGTAGAACCTGAGGCCATCTCTCCCAGACCCTGAGCCCATCTATTCCAGACCCTGAGCCCATCTCTCCCAAACCCTGAGCCCATCTATTCCAAACCCTATGTCCATCTCTCCCAAACCCTGAGCCCATCTATTCCAAACCCTATGTCCATCTCTCCCAAACCCTGAGCCCATCTCTCCCAAACCCTGAGCCCATCTATTCCAAACCCTGATCCCATCTCTCCCAGTCCCTAAACCCATCTCTCCCAAACCCTGAGCCCATTTTCACATTAGGAGAAATCCCCAAACACTTCCATGTTATATCCAGTTATGGTCCATGTTATATATAGTTATGGTCCATGTTATATCAAGTTATGGTCCATGTTATAACCAGTTATGGTCCATGTTATATCATGTTATGGTCCATGTTATATCAAGTTATGGTCCAAGTTCTATCGAGTCATGGTCCATGTTATATCCAGTTATGGTCCATGTTATATCAAGTTATGGTCCAAGTTCTATCGAGTCATGGTCCATGTTATATCCAGTTATGGTCCATGTTATATCATGTTATTATGGTGCATGTTATATCAAGTTATGGTCCATGTTATATCATGTTATGGTCCATGTTATATCATGTTATGGTCCATGTTATATCATGTTATTATGGTCCATGTTATATCATGTTATTATGGTCCATGTTATATCGAGTTATGGTCCATGTTATATCAAGTTATTGTCCATGTTATATCATGTTATGGTCCATGTTATATCATGTTATTATGGTCCATGTTATATCATGTTATTATGGTCCATGTTATATCCAGTTATTGTCCATGTTATATCATGTTATTATGGTGCATGTTATATCATGTTATTATGGTCCATGTTATATCCAGTTATTGTCCATGTTATATCATGTTATGGTCCATGTTATATCCAGTTATTGTCCATGTTATATCCAGTTATTGTCCATGTTATATCATGTTATGGTCCATGTTATATCCAGTTATTGTCCATGTTATATCATGTTATGGTCCATGTTATATCGAGTTATGGCAAAGGAAACACGTTTTATAATAAATGAAAACAGTAATTTTAGGGTTAATTGTAATAATAGGCAGGAAAGGGGCCCCACGACCTTCAATGTGAAGAATATTTACAGTGTATAAAGTCACAGCTCGGTATCTATGCACTAAGCAGCGAATTACAGCCAGATGGCGATCAGCTCGGAAAATATTGGACAAAATATCTGAAAAAGGAAATTAAAATAAAACAGAAAACAACAAATAGAACAAGAATCGAATTAAAATAAACCGGTCTGCGCGAGATGTACCAAGTGAGACAATCGGGCGAAAAACATTTACGGCCAAACTAGTCGATAGGAAAATTCTAGCAGTTTCACGACGGTGGATTTCCTTTGAGTTACCGACACTTCGTAAATAGCCGTGATTGGCGATCTGAATCTCATCGCCCGGAATCTCCGGTAAGTGAATGGAGTAAAACGATCCATTTATCGTGTGAGAGCAAATAAAGTCCAATTCTAACCGGATCTGATTCCCCACTGAGTAACCCGCACAGATTATACAAAATACCAGAATTAAACTGAATTAAACAAGAACTCGCAGTCATTTCACATGAATTCGTTCTTCACATTCTAGAAGACAATTATTCTCTCACTTTAAATATTTCTCCTTAAAGTCCTGATTGCGATACTGCGATATTTATTATAAATTCGATCTCACATTTAGCTAATTATTGAGTTTCCATTAATTAAATTATTACAAATACAAAGTACGTGGTTTTATCAGAGAATAACGAAAAGACCGAATTATTTAGCGAATCCATCGATCGGAATATTTACATTTATTGATTGATTTGTCTTTTACAATTAAACGATATTTAGTTTATTTTTTATAAGTCGATCCCTAAAATGAAACGATTTAAATTAAACAATAATTGTGTCTTTATTTTTTGTTACTTTCTCGTTGGATAATCAGAAACATTTGACAGAGAATTGAAATTATTTCACGAGTTCATTGAATTTTCCCAATTAATAAAATGCACAAAATATATTCAAACCCGGCAGAGGACCGGCAATCAAACCGTGTGGGATTCCACGATCAGTGACTGATAAATATTTACTCTTTAAATTAAACATCACGTGTTTTGCATTTTGATGATAGAAAACAATTCAATAATTGCAACAATGTCTTAGCTGATACAGTAATATCCCGCCAGGACTGGCCAGCGCTGGGTTCGATATTTATAAATATAACATGTTAGATTACATTGTATAATATCACATGCTGGGAATACTAGGACCCAGAATGGGATTCAGAATACATTGTATAATATCACATACTGGGAATACTAGGACCCAGAATGGGATTCAGAATACATTGTATAATATCACATGTTGGGAATACTAGGACCCAGAATGAGAGTCAGAATACATTGTATAATATCACATGCTGGGAATACTGGGACCCAGAATGGGATTCAGAATACATTGTACAATATCACATGCTGGGAATACTGGGACCCAGAATGGGATTCAGAATACATTGTATAATATCACATGCTGGGAATACTAGGACCCAGAATGGGATTCAGAATACATTGTATAATATCACATGCTGGGAATACTAGGACCCAGAATGGGATTCAGAATACATTGTATAATATCACATGCTGGGAATACTAGGACCCAGAATGGGATTCAGAATACATTGTATAATATCACATGCTGGGAATACTAGGACCCAGAATGGGATCAGAATACATTGTATAATATCACATGCTGGGAATACTAGGACCCAGAATGGGATTCAGAATACATTGTATAATATCACATGCTGGGAATACTGGGAGCCAGAATGGGATTCAGAATACATTGTATAATATCACATGCTGGGAATACTAGGACCCAGAATGGGATTCAGAATACATTGTATAATATCACATACTGGGAATACTAGGACCCAGAATGGGATTCAGAATACATTGTATAATATCACATACTGGGAATACTAGGACCCAGAATGGGATTCAGAATACATTGTATAATATCACATGCTGGGAATACTAGGACCCAGAATGGGATTCAGAATACATTGTATAATATCACATGCTGGGAATACTGGGAGCCAGAATGGGATTCAGAATACATTGTATAATATCACATGCTGGGAATACTAGGACCCAGAATGGGATTCAGAATACATTGTATAATATCACATAATATATCAGTATTTACAGAGATTGGATTCACCTTGGCCATCCACAGACCCCTCTTCCCAACCCTGGATGCTGAGCGATGCAGTCACTGCTAACCTTACTACTTACTAAGCAGCGAGTCAGGTTGAGCCAAATTGGCCAAGTCTCCGTCTGATCCAGAATTGGAATTGATTTGACTGTTTTAGTTTGTTAATATACAATGAAGCCATGAATAATTAATATATATATATATATAATGTGTTCTATATAAAGGGATTAAAAAGGTAAATCAAATGATTAATTAGAAAAACAAACAGATATATAGATATAATGAATATAAATTATAAATGGTAACGCTGACATACTTCTTATTGCTGTATTTATTACCGCTATCTGAGTTATGGAATAGAATTGTCAGCTGTGCTAAACATTATCATTTTTATTTTCTAATTAATATTTTTCTTTACCTTTGTAAAAATTGTTAGAGAAAACTCGTTAAACACAAACGATCTTAGTAAATAGAGAGCAGACTAGTGACTGTTTAATATTCCGAACTGCGAGTTTATCGAAGATCATTTCGTGAAAATATTGTAAAACCTTCTATTCATTTTAAGGAGATTGATCCAGTCTGGGGACACAGGGCTCTGAGCTTAGAAATACATTTTATTTTTTATTATTATTATTATTTATATAGCGCCATCAGATTCCGTAGCGCTGTACAATTGGTGGACTAACAGACATGTAACATAGTCTGGGGACACAGGGCTCTGAGCTTAGAAGTACATTTTATTTATTTGAATTATTTTATAGGGACGAGATAAATCGATTTGTATCGAAGTTCATTTTGGCTGTTTCAGCATTAAAAACAAATCTGATAAATTAATCGCAGGTTTTAGGCCAAAATAGGTGATTTAGAAAAATATATTACTTTTACTATTGTTCACTTATATTTATATTTGCCTACAATTTGCAGTCGCCTTTGTCTATACTCTGCAATTGCTGGTTAATGCATTAACTTTGATCTAATAGGACCATCCCTCACAGAGTTAAATAACCCTGTCCACCCTGTAACTAATTATCAACCCAGGAGACACAGTGTCAGGCTTGGGGCTCAGAGTAATGCCAAATCCCAAACTCTCACACCTCAAACCCTGCGAGGGCCAACTCCCAGCACTCAGGGTCACTCACACTAATTAAGCTCATCCAGAAGCCATCCCCTGTTTCTTAATAAATCTTTAATCCGAGATCCAGCATCAATAAGATCCTTGTCCTTCCTAGGAATCTCTGCATTTTGTTGTTTGTTTGTTTGTTTTTCCTAAATCTAGGCTTGTTTTCTAACACACTGTTAATGATTTATTACTATGGAGCAATATATAATGTTTGGTCTATTCTCTCTTATAAACTGGATCCAGATGCTTTCTCATTAACATTCAGCTATTTACCAATATCCTGGGTACTAGCACTTCCCCTGAATCTGTTTACTGGTCCCTGAATCTAACAATCATGTATTTCTGAGTTGTGAAAAAGCTGTAGAAATTCCCATTTCTGTCCTGGAAGTGGCGCCCTGTCAATCATTGCTAGAAATGTTACCTTTTCAGCCATTAAACCTAGTAAGAAACAGAGAAGGAGCCCAAATAATGTTTCTATTTCAATTTATTATTTGCCATCACTGAACTGAACACCATCTGCTCTCATGAACAAACACAAATTACAGCTAACTTCAATGTTTTCTTCTAATTTGTGGCAGTTCCACTTTGAAGACATTGGGGAGCAGGGGCTGAAAACACCTGGGGTACTCACTAATCAGGGTCAGTGTCCCACATTTATTTAGTAGTCACAACAGAATCCTGCAGAGCTATTAACCCTTTCTGATACAGGAAACCATTGCTATAAAAAGACAGCCCTGATAAACGAGCAG